ATGGATGTCACGTTCTGATCGCCATTCTTCGACATCTAAATCTGGTGGAAGGAGCTCACCTAATCAATCCACAAGTAGTGAAACATGGTTTTCTGGTCATGAAGCAGAGGATAACAATAATGAGGATGCAAAAAACAAGAGAAGGCTGAACCAAGAATCTGCATCTATAGACCGGCATCGGCAGGAAAGGTTGAACCAAGAATCTGCATCTTTCCGGCATCGGCAGGAAATGGTTCGCTCTCATAGTCATGAAGAAGCATCCAGCTCATCAAGCTCAAGGGAACATATGAAGGGCACAAGGGTGGAAACATCAGCTTCACCAATTGTTTCAGAGAGCATTTTACCATCCAAAACTATTGCATTGCCTTCTGCTGAAGACACCCCTGGGAAAAACTTCGAAGGTACCTCTGGCTCAATTGTTCCAGAAGGAGTGCTTCCGCTTCCTTCAATTCAGGTGAGAAGATCACCCATTATAGAAGAAATAACAGAAGCTGGACAGGCTGTTCCGTCCAGCAGTAGCGAAGGGCAAGCAGTTTCAGAGACAGCCGCTGTCTTTAGTGAGGTGTGGGGGTCTAAGGTTAAAGATGCTGAAATGAGACAGAGAAGGTTTCTGAGGTCCGATCAATTTGTAAAAGACAAGTTTGATGAGTGGGAAGAAGCATACAAGCTTGAAAGCGAGCAGCGGAAAATCGATGAAATATTTATGAGGGAAGCACTAGTGGAAGCCAAAAAGGCTGCTGACAATTGGGAAGTACCTGTTGGGGCTGTGCTGGTCCATGATGGAAAAATAGTTGCTCGTGGATGCAACCTGTAAGTCATGGTGGCTTATGCTTTTTCCTAGTTCTTCTTTTGTCCTCCTTAGATATTGGTTTTCACATAAAGATGCATGTTTCAGTGTGGAAGAACTGCGCGACTCTACTGCCCATGCAGAAATGCTGTGCATACGTGAGGCTTCAAACACACTTCGGACATGGAGACTTTCGGTAGTTCTTTACACTTTTATACTCTCTTAAAGATTAAGTGAAGATGCCACCTAATTTTTATGGCTACTGGATAGGTAGGAAAATGGAAGCAGCACTATCAAAACTTTTGTACTCTTTTACTAAAACTAAATTTAGATGAATGCATTGGCAAACAAGGAAAGAATTATATTAGGCAGACATTCAGTAATACTTTGTTAAATGTGATGTACATGGGGAAAGTATGAGTTGAATATGATAAACAGATTTCGACTTTAGGTTACCATAGCACTCTTTTCTTCTTTGGTGTGCTTTAGTTTTCTTGTGTGTTTTGATACATTAAATGATTTAATTGACACTTAAGTACTAACATGACTCTGGTAAGTGAAGTAAAAATAAGAAAAGGAGAAAGGGTGCAACAGTTGCATATTCTTTCCCTGAACATCGAACTTTTCTTTGACCAATAACGTTCAATTCTTTTCTTTTTACAGGATACCACACTTTATGTAACACTTGAGCCGTGTCCTATGTGTGCTGGAGCAATACTTCAAGCTAGAGTGGATACTGTTGTATGGGGAGCTCCGAATAAGCTCCTAGGGGCCGATGGCAGCTGGATTAGGTAAGCAACATCATACATTGTTCATTCGATAGCTTAAACAGTCGTCAATTAGTGATTTATCATCTACTCTGGTAAGGCTTCGAAAAGTAAGAAATGGAACACATAGTTCTTACTTTGTAATTTAAAAAACTTTTGAAATTCATTCCTGTTCGGAACTGGCAATACACCATAGGAACCTATTCCTATGGTTCCTGTGGCAATACACTCACAGCAGTAAACAATCTTATTAGACCCACCAAAATAAGAAAGAAGGATCTTTCAGAAAATGGGTGCGTATCAAGATTATCCTACTATAAATCACTTTTTGTTTCATTCATTAACTTTCTGAATTATCAAAAATTTCAAGTCTTTAAGATAATCATATTTCTTAATCTGAGGATTTTATGAGCTCAAGGAACAGCACTTTTTTGCCTTTCTTTCTGGCAGTACCATAGTTTGCTTAGATATGATGAATATTCACAGTTTTCTATGTTGATATATGCTTTAATAGTTTTCTTGTTTCGTGGTGTAGCATCTAGAATATTTAGCTATTTTGCTGCTTTTCAGAAACGTTACAATAGTTATGATTTATTCTTATTTTCTCTAGTTAAAGAATAAAAATTCAAAATATGGAGTTGAAGTTTCATTGGTCCTCAAGAAGTCGTAACTTCTAAACCTCTTAAGGGTTTGGCTTACAGTTTAGTTATATATGGATTATATACAAGGATTATTTATGCGGTAAATGAGAATGAAGGAATTGTTACATGGTGAATTATTATGGGTGGATTGTAATACGGTGGTGAATAATGCTGCAGTGGCTGTTATGCAGAGATTGCCTACTTTAAAGGCACTTTTGTCTTTAGTTGTCTTATCCTCGTATTACAATTCTTATTTCACATTTGATCCTGTATAAAATAATCATAGATTCTTGTATAAGTTATACTAGTATTGGTACTTATAAACAAAACAAGCTATACAAGTATTAGTAATATGATGTTTGGTTTACAGTGTTAAACTCCACGTCCCGGTATTAAATGTCGTATAAGTTATGTGGAGTTTAATACCTGAAACCAATTGTTGAATTAGCTTTATGGAGATCATATCAGTAAATTTGAGTTCTATATCGAGAACCAAACACTATATAACTAATTTCGAATTTTATACCAGGATTGAACATCCCTATCCCTCAAAGCAAAAACCCCTTAAAGTGTCAGTCATGTTCTTAACCGCCAAAATTCTTATTTATATGTAGTAGTTACATACTTGCATTAGTTCATGAAGGAAAAGTGAATAAGTATGTATCTGGAAGTTGTGTTGTTTTTCTTCTTTATCGTTCAAGTGAATAATTATAAGGATGTTTGTCCTAAAAGACTTCCTAGTGTGTCCATGTTTCTCCTTGATGTATCTCTCCCAAAGTCATGCGTGTAAGCATTCCTCAAGTTCACCTCTTTCTTTCTCACCCAAAGACATGTGGCTAAGCATCCCTCAAGTTTCCCTAAATGCAGCTCTCTGCACTAGTCAAATGCACAGTGGTGTAAGTAATGTTCAGGTATTCTTCCAATTGTGGTTCCTGTGTTTTCGCCGTTCATTATTACTTATTCTTCTTGCTACTTCCCTTAGCATAAAACAAGGTTAAATGAATATTTCTGTGGCCCCAAATTGGATTGCCTATCTTGCCACGTTTGCTTGATATTTGTGCGATTAATAGTACATGCAGCTCGCTCCAGAAGAAACTTTGTATTTTGGTTTTTTAGGTAAAGGCCTTATTATTCATAATGTTTCAGGCTTTTCCCTAATGGAGATGAAGTAAATGTCTCGGAACCAACAGATAAACCTCCTGCTCCAGTTCATCCTTTCCACCCAAAAATAACAATCAGGCGCGGCGTGCTAGCATCAGAATGTGCAGATGCAATGCAGCAATTCTTTCGACTAAGAAGGAAAAAGAAGGAAAAGAAGTCAGATCCTCCGACACCACCTTCATGTCTTCCCATTTCAAGCCATCAGCCAAAGTTTCTCAGCAAGATTCACGACGTTTTTCATATCATGTTCTGCTTGTGATATTTTTTTCTGATTTATCTTGCTGTAAAATTGTATTGATAAAACTCTCTTTCCCCGCTCTTCTTTGCGTGTTAAAGTTCAAGATCAAGTCACCTACCTCTGTTCTTTTAACATCATTCTAATTAGACAGGATCAATATGTAATATGTGGCCAAACCTCTGAATTAGTTAGCAAATTATTGTCATCAGGATTAGAGTTGTAGTCCAATGGTTGTAACTACAGTTCATTTACTTCATGCTGTAAATGGACTTAATAGTTAAGAGAAATGGAAATGCCACATCTATTGTATGACATGAAAGAAAAAAAGCAACCTGTTTTCACAAGATATTTGATTGAGACTAGGTACCAAGGCATAGCTCAAGTGTCAAAATCAACAATATCAGTAAAAACAAGAAAAGTTGGTGGTATTTGTTAACCTTAACTTTAATACCATAATCATCCCTCATTTTGTGTCCATATGTTTGTTTAGTAATTCAATCTGCCATGTGTATTAGCACCTCAGATTAATAATCATTAATTATAATTTTGGTAAATAAAATTATTAAAATTTCTAACCACCTTGCCTTTGCTGCATAGCCAAGTATAAGCATTCACAAAATCATTTCCATACAATAAATGCAGTTTGTCCAAAGAAGAGCATAAAATTGACCAACATCATGAAATTTAGTAACAAAGTGACTCAACTATTATCATTACTATTTTGCTTTTCCTGGAAGAAAAAACTTGCTAAACAAGGGAGAAAAAGTATTATTAGTACTTTTTCTTTGCAATGATGCATATTTAAAGTTCTTTTTTTTAATCGATTCGATGTCCGAAGCACATATCATTCATTTAACCATCCGATATCCGAAACATACTGGCACATTCCAGATACGTACTGGGGAAAGCGCTTCCTACCAAAATGTTCATAATAAAGTAAGTTTCACTTAAATGAACTATGAGAAGATCCCCCTTTTGTTGGAGCTATTGACCGAACCGACAACCTTGGGGTTGTAGGTGGGGGTGCTGACCATCGGAGCAAGTTCAAACTGAACCACCAAGTCACCTACATTTGGTTCCTTAAAGTTTATTTGCTATGTAGATTTAAACATTTACAACTATTTAATGATAGAAAATAATAGGCCAACTAAAAAGCATGACCTACATGCTCCTTTATGCTTGAAATGGTAATTGATAGCAATAGATGACCAATACTATATTTTCCTATGGACTGCAAATCTTCTTATGCAGAAACATACAAGACATTAAGCACATTTTTGGTGCCAATCTTGACAAATGATGAGAGTTGCTGTAGCATTCACATCAAACTATGTTTCTCCTCGAAGCATGTCTACCAAATTCTTTCGTTTCTAGAAGTAAATTAATATTGATTTGTTGCATATAAGTAGAGAGCTCCTGACAATCAACTCACTACACAATATGGCTTCCTCTCAGTTTGTTTACCTTTCCACTTGCTTTTGCATTTGGCTAGTAATGGCTAATGCACAAGCACCAGCAGCATCACCATCTACACCTACAACCACACCTCCACCTACCACAACACCGGTTGTGGCATCACCGCCACCTTCGACACCTCCACCAACCACAACACCTCCGCCTTCTACGACTCCTGTTGCACCATCACAGCCACCAGCAACTTCGGCAGCACCTCCTCCGATATCAGTACCTTCGCCTAAAGTTGCCCCCGTCTCAACTCCAACGATCCCACCACCACAACCTCCACCAACTCCACCCGTCTCAAGTCCATCACAACCACCTGTAACGCCACCACCCGCTCCAGTTGCTTCTCCACCAGCAGTACCCCCAGCTTTACCTCCACCTCAGATATCCCCGGCACCAGCACCTTTACCACCACCAGTATCTCCGCCTAAGGCCCCACCAGCACCAGCGCCGACACCGGTCACTCAACCACCAGCTCCTCCACCAGCTATTGTATCACCAGTGGCAACACCAGAGTTAGCACCGTCACCAGCACCAGCTCATGGCAAGCATAAGAGAAAGAAGCACAAACACAAGCATCATCACGCGCCAGCACCTGCACCAACTGTGCCAAGCCCACCAGCACCACCAACAGTCCAAGAATCTGTGGATGTGACTCCAGCACCATCGCCTACTCTGAATTTGGTAACGTTTCCATTAATGTTCCTGTCCGGTAACCATAATTATTCTAACAAAACATAGTACAGACACATGAACAGTTCTAATATGATAAATTCACTTATTCTCTCTCACTTGACTGCAGAATGGAGCAACGGTTTTGCTGCAAGGAAGCAGATCTAGAATGTGGATGAACGCTGGTTTGGCGATGACTATTCTTTTGGCCATCATAATCTGAGTTTCCCACAGATCTTACATGAAAAACTATATGTTTCATTACCAGAAAGAAAATTTTGAAATGCGATGGGACTAATTATGTGTTTAGAGGAAAAATAATGTGGAATATGATTGTCATTTTTTTATCTCATCAATATTCTTTTTGTCAAGACATTTACATCAATGTAATTGACTTTCTCTCACCTACAAAATGGCTCTATCAATACTATCACTCTCTTGCTGGATCCTACACGTATATAATCTATAAGCTTCAGTCAATCTTGATCAGCATCTGGATCCATATTAATTTCATCCTTGAAATTGTACTCAACCACAAGTCCAAGGTTGTCAACAAATTTATGATACTGAGAGCACCCTGAACACTGAAAGGAGAATCTTCAGTTAATACCCAGTCAATATGAAGATTCTTTAATAATAAAAAAGGAGAACAATAACGGAGGCAAATAAGATAGATATACAGACGATATGCAAAACTCTATTACTCATGCTAAACCAAAGGACCAAATGATTGACACAGTAAGCAGTCAAACACTATTTTTTGTAACATAGACAAACATTGATGCTTCTGAGAATGCCGAGATGATGGAAAATATGAAATGTGCTCAATAGGCTTAGTAGGTTAATCCTCAAGAGGCACCTTTTACTTTTCTGCACAAGAAAAGCAAACACAAAAGGTGTTCTTCAAGGTCCCTCACAGCTCACACTCAAGGAGTAAGATGTTTAAAGGGATAAAAATAAGCTGCGATAGCACAAAATAGACAAATGATGTCACGATTGGTTCTGAAACACTGGTCCAGTGATCAGACTTAGTTATATTCGAACCAAAATAAATGATTGACTTGGTAATGGAGGGGTGTCCTTCGTACACTCTAAAGAATGTATCGACCATAACCCCCCCCCCCCCCCCCCCCCCCATTTTTTTTCCCTCTTTTCTTCATTACCTACAAGTATGAAAGCAGAAGGAAATATCCAATACTGAAATCTGGGAGGTTAACAGACTTAAACAACAAAATATTACACCTATCATTTAGACTACAGTGAGTTGTAGGCGTTGTTATTTCACTTAAGACAATTGTTAGAATTAGTGATGCACACAAGATGTCAAATACTTAAATCTTGGAATTGTAGTTGTTAAGTCTGAATCATACATGATAAATATAAGGTCAACATTAGCATCCAACATACTACTGAAGGAAAGTCACAACTGATAAATGTGCATGAGCTAAAAGTATTTTATTCACGGAATAAGGTAGTGTGAAAGATCCCATATGTCTCTTACAATTGAGTTGGCTCTGATATGCCAATCAATACTTGCAAGCTAATATTTTAGCCAAATGTTTTAGGAAAGATAGTTCCAATGAAGAACAAATACAGCATTGTACAAAATAAGTTCTAGTAAGACGATTACCCATTAATACCTTCAACGGTTAAATCACCCATCTAACAGTTCTAGCCTTAAAAAATCTTGGTGAACATACACAATTAAGGGAAGTTATTTTGGTTTTGCTATTACTCATAAAAAGTTTAGCTTGGCTTTGCAATTATCAAAAGCTTAACAACACCGCACACACTCAAACCAAGTACCTGTATAAACACTGTCCCTCTTTCATATGCTAATCTGTTTATGAGTCTTTGTGATCGAACTCCGCAAGCATTACATGTGAAAGTCACTAATAGACTTCTTCTTGGTAGTTTCAAGTTAATAGCTGCTTCCTGCCAGAAAAAAATGATACTTAAGTGGCCAAAGAGAAAGTACCAATTCATTTAATTGTGGGACTAGAAGATTTAGTCATTCTTCGTTAAATAGGGGGTCTAAACGTCACATTTTCCAATTGAAGCTAAGCTACTCTTTTCTAAACTGGAGGTGTCTAGTTTAGGTGATAACTAACAACCACATGTGCCAATCTTCCCATATAGATCTCGTAAAAAAGAGGAAGGGAAAACTTAACACTACAGAAAACTAACCAACAGAGACAAACAAAACACTCTTTTACGAAGTGCAATTCATAAACCAAGGATTGCTTTAACCAGTTAAGGTACGAGACAAATATGTCTCTAACTAATTCATAAAGCACGCAAAGAATGGCAACAATGTACCTTTGAAGAATCACTTGATGCAGAAGAATTCCCAGATACTGGTTGTGTTTCAGAAGTATCTTCCACAACACACGAAACCATTGGAACCTGGAACACATGTTCTGATGCTCTCCTCCTCCCATAATTAGAACTCAGCCTGTTATATAAAAAGAAAACATAAAGATGGCGCTTAAACCAACACAATCCTCATAGCTATAACTCAATCACAAACTAGTTGGTTTTGGCGCTAAAATATACTCTATATACACTTCCCTCTACTTGGACCCATTCAATTCCACTACTCAACTTTACTGCATTCTCCATAATACAATAATATCAACTAATATGCCTTAATATCAAACTAGTTGAGCTCCGTTATATGGATCCTTTTTTTCTATTCCACGTTACGTGGACGCATTTCATTCCGCTACTCAATTCTACATAGTAAAGGTCAGACTTTTATTTTTATTTTTTCTGATAACCGGTAAAGTTCTATTTTTACAACCAGTAAACTACAAAACCCGTTTCATTCAACTACTCAATTAATTCTACATTGTAAAATTCAGATGTTTTTCCTTTTTCTTTAGTAACCAGTAAAGTTCAAAATTTTATACCAAACTACAAGACCCTTTTCACTCCACTACTCAATTCTACTTAGTCAAAAAGAAAAAAAAAAACTATATAGTAAAGTTCAGATCTTTATACCGCACTACAATACCCCTTTCATTTCACTACTCAATTTACATATTAACATTCAGTTTTTTCTTTTCTTTCTTGAATAACCAGTAAAGTTCAGATTTTTATACCAAACTACAAGACCCTTTTCATTCCACTACTCAATTCTACATAGCAAAGTTCAGATATTTTTTTTTCTTTAATAACCAGTAAAGTTCAGATTTTTATACCACAATACAAGATGGGGATAACAAAAAACACATGAAATTGAAAAAAGAAAAAAGAAACATGGGGCATAAAAGCTGACCTTGTGGATTTGATGCAGTAGCCATAAGAATTAGGTCTGAAGGAAAGAGAATAAATGGGGACATGGGTTTTGATGCTGGTAACAGATAAAGAGCAAAAAGAATTTAAATTATTACAGATTTTGCTGTTTCCTGTTATGGATGTTATAGCCATAGATGATGGGTTTTTGAAGAGAGAGAGAGCAGAGGTTGTGGCAAGTGGAATTATAGAGTTCTTGAAAATAAATAACTATTGGGGAAAGTTTTTAAAAATGGGGTTTCTTATAAATAAGTTTTATTTTTAAATTCTTCCTGTTCTTTATTTTTTCAGAAGTCTTGTTATATATTCAGGAATTGAAAAAAGGGATTTGGAGAAAAAAAATTATTTTTCATGCTATAAATTTTGTTTTAATACCATCTTTATAACAAATTTAAAAGATATTTGAATTTCCATGTGAATTAAATATTGAAAAAGAACTAATTCCAAGAAAGGGAAAACTATTATATTATTTAAAAGAAAATGACATTACATAGCCGCTCTTAAAATATATATATATATATATATATATATATATATATATATATACACACGCACACATGTATGTATGCTATATACAAAATAATATACAAATTTTATTCACTTTTACAGCTACCTAATATAAATAATTTCAGCCGAGATAAAAGTGATCTTTGCCCTAAATTTAATACTTTTATTCTTTTTTTTTTATGTTGTGAGCAAGAAGATTTAAAATAATAATTCAAGACATGGGTATGAACTTACAAAAAATAGTATTTTTTTTCTTCTTTTTTTTTTCAGTGTGCAATAAATTTTTTACTAGTTGTGCAATTTTCTTGCTAAAAAAAATCCGAAATTTGGGTTTGCAGGTAGCAATTACTAAAAACAAAAAGAAAAAAGAAATATGTTGATAATAATATTAGCATTGTTCTCATTCCAATATTACAAGATTCAAGCAATGAGATAAGATAATAATTCGAGATTGACGCAAAAAATAGGGCGTCATTTTCATTCACATTAGAAGAATTTTTCTAGTTTACAAGTGTGGATTATTTCCTAGAATATAACATATTACATAGGCCCAACCAAAAAACCAAAAAAGGAAAAAAAGAAAAAAAAAGGAAAGAGAATAGAGAACAATTTGACAATTTAATCAACTTGTTCAATGAGATAAGGGTCACAAAAAAATAATTTTGCATGGCCCTTATATTGCAAATTGGAATAATTCAATCTTGTTCATCTACTTCATGAAAAGGAAGTGGCACTGTTTTAACAGCTCTAAATTTCCCTGCATTATTTAGATGCTCATTCTCCAACCTGTTCAACATTAAAAACAATGTCCATTAAACAAAACGAGATTTAACTTATATATACTGACAGTAATTATTTGTTATCGCTACAAATCTTTGAGAAAATAAATAGAAGGACAACTCGGTGGCCGGTGCACTAAGCTCTTGCTATGCACGAGGTCGAGGAAGAGCCGGACCACAAGAGTCTATCGTTCGCAACCTTATCCTGCATTTCTGCAAGAAGTTGTTTCCACGGCTCAAACCCGTGGTCGGTGCACTAAGCTCCCGCTATGCATGGGGTCGGGGAAGAGCCTGACCACAAGATTCTATAGTACGCAACCTTACTCTGCATTTCTGCAAGAGGCTATTTCCACGACTCGAACCCGTGACCTTCTAGTCACATGACATCAACTTTACCCGTTACGCTAAGGCTCCGAGAAAATTAAAGTACCTGTAAAAATTCCATTGTCCTCTCCTAATAACTTCAAGGGCTGCTAAAAATAGCCCAGTAACTCTGTAGTCTACACTTCCAAAATTATAATGCAGAACTGTTTGTAACCATGCTAGCCTCAGTACAAGGTTCAATCCCTGCACATACCAAATTTCTTAAATCAACCCTTAATATTCATTTAAGCAGTAATGTTTTGTTATTGCTTTAATTAATCTTTTTTGGATAGGAGGATTAGAGCTAATACCATGGAGAAATAGTAATAAATTTTTCGACGAAGCATTAATTCATTCCTTAACCATGGATTCTTGGAATGACACTGGAGTAAGCCCCAATCTTTAACAAAATCCCAGTATAATTGATATACAGTTGCAGCACTTGACATTACTATAACTAAGCAAAGCCATCCCATATTCTTTTCTTTTTCATATGCAACTTTTGCTCCTGCAGCTAACATTGCAGACACATATTTTCCAAGATTCACTAGGTGGCTTTTGTGTCCTTCATCGAACCATCTTCGTGCACACTGCAAATATCATAATTGATTAAAAATTTTAACGCGAATCATATGAATGTTCAATGTTAAAATCTTGAAAAGGTAAAGTATCAAACCTGCATTGCTCTCCAGTAATATGGTAAGAAAGAAACTGCATAAGCAAGGTCTCTATAATATTTTGTTCGCATACAATAACCATAGTCTTGAGTTTTATAGCTTCCAGTTATGTAGTAACATGCTACATATTCAAGGTTTCTGAGCATTGGAACCTGTTTCGTAAACGAAAAATTTACATCAGCAAATGTTTGATATGTCACAGAACTGAAAAAATGCTATACTTAGTATTTGCTGATTTCTTGCTAACCTGGCTACAAAGTTGATCAGCCATGAAGAAGTCCAACATGACAACCTTATATAGAGGTGACAATATGATGTTCCTTATAACACATATGAAGTGATAACGGCTAGATTTGTAAATGATATTGAATGGACACACCAGCAGCATAATGAAGGCCTGTTGTTAACAATTGTGATTAGTTCTGCATACATTGAGTACAAAAAAATTGAACTTTTTGGTCAGATTGTTTTGACACTAAATAATAGTGAGAAAATTACCAATAATAAGAGGCCAGGGATTGCTTGAGTTTGATTATAAGAGTATCCTTTTGCCACAAGTGTAAGATGAAGAACAAGGACCCCGACAACAGCACTCATCGATGCAGTACATATCAGGAACACATCTCTGTACTTGAGTTCCTTAGTTTGTGCTAGCTCAAAGATGAAGCTATAGTTTACACGAGTTTTTCGCCACATAAATATGTTGCATCCATATAGAAAGAAGTGCAAGAACATTAAGCTGAACATGCTGCACAATCATTATTGTAAATCTCTATTAGATGTTTGAAAGAAATTCCAAAGTTGTATTAGTTAAAATACATTTGAATTATTTAAACCATAATCCAATACTTGCCTGAGAACAGGATAAACAGTTTCCATGTAAATTGTGTCAGATTGAGATCTATACAGTCCTGTAATATGAGCCATGATCACATACCCGACGAAAAGCGCGAGGAAACATCCTGTGAATAAACCTGTTTTGAAACCAATCAAGAATCAAATTTAGTCAGTATTCAGTTTGGTAATGTGAAGCTATATCTAATATCAAATCTTGTTTCCTTTTTTCATTGTTCTTTCAACATTAGACAGTGCCATAGGTTTCATGTTATGCTGGTCTTTAAGATTTTTAGGTCACGGGTTAGAGCCCATGGAAACAGCCTCTTGCACGAATGCAGGGTAAGGCTGCGTACAATAGACTCTTGTGGTCCGACCCTTCCCCGGACCCGCGTATAGCGGGAGCTTAGTGCACCGGGTTGTCTTTAGATACATGACACAACTCATATCAGTAAACAGTCTTGATTTTGACAAACAGGAGAAGTACAAACCTTAGAAAAACTAAGCACTATTGTCTTTTTGAACACTAAAGGGTTCTTTAAAGTTTCAACATTTTTGGTCAATAACATGATAATGGCCTAAAATGGGACTTCTTTGTCCTCCACTACTGAAAAAGGTGGACTCTTAAGTCTACTTTATTTTCTTCAGGTGGTTAATGGCTGATTCAAGTCCTACTTACAGGACAGGATCCTTTTTATGCTGATCACACTTTGTTTTTATCTGGCTATCCTATAGAAGAAGTGCTAACTTGGAAAGAATCCACTTACGTAGATTATCTTGGTTATTTTCTTTACGTACTTCCAATTATGAACCAGAAGGGAAGCTGCGTAACTGGTAAAGTTGTTGCCATGTGACTAGGAGGTCACGGGTTCGAGACGTTGAAACAGCCTCTTGCATAATTGCAAGGTAAGGTTGCGTACAATAGACCCTTATGGTCCGGCCCTTCCCCGGACCCCGCGCATAGCGGGAGCTTGATGCACCGGTCTACCCTTACTTTCAATTATGACCCAATTGTTTTCATGGAATTAACCAATGAAAAAAGTAACTGCATCTGACTCTTATTTTTGGAACTCACCGGTAAAAAAAGTAACTGCATGAGACTCTTTTTTCTGGAACTCACCAATAAAAAAGGTAACTGCATGCGACTCTTTTTTCTGAGCAGGTTTGAGGTATTTCATAGCCTTCTTTTTATCATCTTCAGCAAAGTGTTTGATAAAAATCTCTTCAACATCATCAGCCAACTTCAAAGCCTGTGTGACAAATATAATGTGTTAGACAACCATATCTTTCAAATCTAGCCATTGCTTGTGTGGAAAAGCACTTCTTTTTTTCTCTTTAAGATATGACCACTTAATACTGTCTAAGAATAATCTGATGATGATATTTGATAAGATATCAAATTGTAAACTTAGTGCCCCACATTACTACATCCAATCATCTTCCAATAATCTGAACAATGTCATGTTGCTACATTTTCATGTTCAAAAAGACAACTTTTACAAAGAAAAACTTGAACAAATAATTAGCTTTCTGATTTAATTTACTTTACCTTATCTGAGCTGTTGAAGTAAGAGCTCTCTACAACTCTTAAATAAATAGGAAGAACTTGTTTGTTTGTAACCTATGAAAAAAGAATGAAAAACATGAAAAGTTAACATGGCCATAATAAAAAGTAAAGTTAAAAATTTGCTAGTATGAACTTAGGCTAGTAAAATTTACTTACTTTGTCAAATTTCTTCAAGATCTTTACAAAAGCTAGCATGTTCAAGTTCCTGTAAAGATTTCAACAGTGTAAATTGCTTTGTCATCTCTATTTTGCAGAAAGTAAACAATTATCAATCAAACAAGAAGATAGTTTTCGCGCAACATACCTATAAGTTTGAAGGTATCCTAGTCCTTTGTATAGCTCAATAAAAGCTCCCCTAATCATCTTCTCTGCGTGTTTTAGCTTCGTTCTATTGATGTGCAGTTTTCGTCCGTCTGTGCCACATTTCTTGGAGGATTGATTGATCATATCATCCCTAAGCAAATAAGATATAGCTGAGAATGTT